CTGATTCCTTGGTAGCAGTTTGAATAAAGTCATTAGCAACTGCAGCATAATGCTCTTTCTGCTCTAGTAGCAGAAGCAGCAGAACAAATTTTGGCATGACATATTTCATGCCAAGATCCTGCATCAAAATCTCAGACACAGTAGTTTTTGGAATCCCCAGGTCAGCTTCTAGCTCTCGCACTGTCAGTCGCCCGATCTTTGTTGATTGCAGCTCGTACATGTTCAACATTCTCAGGTGTTCTGCTTGTTGCAGGCCTTCCAGAACATGGGTCACTTTCAACAGATTCTTAACCATCTTTGAAGTGCTTGTGCCACACTTTGATTTGTGCTGCACTCATTGCATTGTCCCCAAAAACCTTCTGAATCATCCAAATAGTTTTAGCAGAGGAATGTTCAAACTTAACACAAAGCTTGATCCCATTCGCTGCTCTACTCACTCGGTCGTTTTGAATGCGACAATCACACAGTACACATGCTCCCTCAGCAACATCTATCACTGCCACTGGCTGGAACAGTAAAGTTGTCCTTGTTCACATATGTGCATTCCATTCCACTCTCCTTGGCTGCCAGGTTACATCGATGTTGCACAAAGTGTTCTCATTATATTAACAATGACTGGATATTTTCCAGACAGACTTCACATATAGAATATACTTACTTCAGAACTGGCAATTGCAATTAAAATTGCAGCAGTTCACTCAAACGGATTGAAATGCTGTGATTACTTCAAGCTAGAAGAACAAAGATGGCTCAAGGAAGATGAAGATAAAAAAATTCAATTGTTACCCATATCTCAATCCATTAGGTGACTATGTTTTCTCACTGAAATCCTTCCATAGGCTTTTGAAAATTCTATGAAGAAGTTTAGTCCTCCATTGAAGTGATGGAAACAAAACATGTAAACCAACAACAAAATCACTCAGTGCTGCTCAAGTTGGTGATCATTTCAATTACTTCATCACCACCTGAGCATAAGGACACTTGAAACATCTTCAACATAAGCTCTATGTCTTCTCCTGGAAACCACACAGATATGTCCTGGCAGCAGGTGGGAAGAGTTATGGCTTCTTTTGATCTGGACCATTTACCAAATTGTCTTTATATATGCCATCATGGAACTTGAATATTCTAACTTTATAGCCATTGTCTTCTTTAACTGAGAGCAAGTGAATGAATATTGTGTTTCTACCTAGGATTAAGTAACATTGAAAAGTGGGACATCAAACTGTTTGTTACGATAATTTTGAAACCAGTACCATGTTATATAATAAATTGAAAAGAAGGAAGGAAGGAAGAAAGGAAGGAAGGAAGGGAGAGAGGGAGGGAGGGAGGGAGGGAGGGAAGAAGGAGGGAGGGAGGGAGGAAGGAGGGAGGGAGGGAGGAGAGAAAGAAGGACTGGGAGAAAGAAAAAAGAAACCTCAGAAAGGAATAAATTCTAATATGTTTTAAGATGTAGCAGTTAGTCTCTGAAGTTTAATTTTTTTTTGGCACTTGGTCATTCATTCATGAGAAAAACAACTCCTTTATAGTCATCTTAAATAAGAAAAAAATTCTCATGATGGACACTGTGCGCCAAACTGACAGTTTTTCCTTTCTAAAATTGTGCTTCCTGTCTAATTTTAAGAAAAGCTGCTCTTACTACTAAAATGATGTATAACAGTGCAGTGTTCACCTGAGGATAATAAAGTTCTGTGTGTTTATTTTTGGGGCATATGCATTTCTGTGTCTTAATGGAACAATGGCCTGTTTTCTTAATTTTCCCACTTTAAATTATGACTCTCTGTCTCTCAAAGTTTACATCAAAAACAAAACAAAAATTTCAGTCAATAATCTGGATGCTTTCACCTTATCTATAAGTTACGGTGAAGATAAAACATCTGAGTGAATGACAAAATTCACGTTTTATGCAGACTTCTGAATCAAATAAACAGAACCCACTTACTTACATTTAGCAAGACCAATTTCCTTCATGAGAGCATTAAATCTTTACATTATTAACATTTAAAAAGAGGGCTTAATGCTTCTGTGGTCAATTCTTTATTAGAATATCCCTATGAGGAATCAATCAGCTCTTGAATTTTCCATAGATTAGTTCTCAATTTAAAATTTTAGGTATTATACAAATCAGATATCAAAGTTGACACTAATGGGCCACAAGAGGACGCTAGTCGCTGGAAATGCATAGCTGCTAATACAAATTTTTTGCACATGTGTAACAAAGCCAACATGGTAATAAAATGGGTTGGCTGCGTTGTGCCTTCTTATAACCCACATCACAGAAACTAATCAATTTTTATTCATACATTTTAGTTACTTAACATATCCCTTAATAATTTCAATTACACCTCAGTTTCTAAACAACTCATGTGTACATATATATCAATGTAACCAGAGAGCAAATTCATTAATAATGGAAGGCTCATAAGAATGTGCAACTGTATTAAAAAAATCAATTTCCAAGTAACGATAGAGAGACTTTGTAAAAAAAAAACTTAAAATTTGAAACCCTGTGGCCAAAGCTTAACATTCCCTCAACTATTACCTAGTTTTTACTGGCATAACCTCTTGGGGAAGTATTCTACCATCTATTTCATATGTAATACATAAGGAAAATGATGAGTGTGCCAGAAATACTGAATTTTTCTTTTCTTTCCCTAATAGTTAATAGTAACCCTCAAAGTATTTATCTTTCCTCTCTGGTGACATTATATTGGTGTCACCATAAGACAAATTTGATATCACCTTAGCAAAGGTGAACAATTGCAAGTGATAAACTTCAGTATTACTTCACAAATATTTACCAGAACATACAACTTTGAAAATAATTAATTTTTTCAATGCAAATGAATAAAGATTCTGACTAGATTTTGTTAGTAGCTGACAGTTGCATCACCTTGGATGAATTTCTTTTATGGAGTACAACACTGCCTAGCTGGTTAGCAAGCTACATACCTACTTATCCATATGAATGTATTTGTGTGCTTTAATTGAACACAATATCAAATGCTGTACAGTAGAGTGGGGGTAGGTGATGGAAAGAATCAGCCATTAATAGCAAAAATCAACTCTGTTTTCCACAGTAATGAGCAGCCATTCAAACCTGATTAAAGTGACAGCACACTGACATAATGTGGCTATTAATTTCCTCTGAACAATACTTTAAATTGTGAATTCACATGAAACTCAGTACCCACCAGGGACCACATATGCTTGTTTCTCAGGCTTCAATGAGCCTTTCTGTAAGCCTGAATGCACTAACGACATACATCTGCCCAGGCTGTTATACACCAATATATCAGTAAAAACTCAAAGAATTATACCTATTAACGTGTTGCTTTCCTTCGAGTTTGGCATAGTCAATTTTAAGGAGAGAAAAAAAAAAGCTCTTCTCAGGCATTTGTGTAAGGTCACTTCTGTGTTAGAAACCACCCTTCCATCTGACCAGGAGACGACAACCATCTTAACGGTGACAAGGTAGCTTTCTCTTTCAGCTTAGGAAAATGACTGTTGGAAGTGTGCTGGTAAATAGGGGGTGCATCAGTTCAATAAACACTCTTCCTTGCAGAGGCAATGTTTCTTTATTTGTTTTTATATATTTCTATACATAGCATTACTCTTTCTACAAAGTCAGTATTATCTGTTTTATTTACAAATCTAAATTTAGCTAAGAAACTTCTTCAGTTAGCAAATCAAACTACAGGGAATAGAAACTCTTTCTGATTTTCATTTTATTTAAGGAATACATATTCTGCTCTGGCCATTTATTTTATATCACATATTACAAAGAATATAGAGAACATGTTTTTTCACAGAGTAATATCCACCAAGGCAATATAAAAAGTATAATTTATCAAAATCAAAGAGTTCTAAAATATCAAACACTAAACTTCAGTTTTAGTCACTCCATCTTCTAGATTATAATCATTTTTAAAATCAGATCTAGTTTTTGCAAAGGAACTTTATTAATTTTCAATTCAAATTTGATGCTGTTTCTAGGTGCTCATAAGGTGGGAATTCTGAAAACAGTAGTCTAATAGGTTTGATCTGATGTGTTAATCTATGTAGAATTGAATTAAAATAATCTATATGTGAGAACTACGGGGTTCTCATAGCTCATAGCTACTCTTAGTGGTTCAGAAGGAAACCCAACAAAATCCCTAGACTTAATGAGGAGGTAAACAGATTCCACATAATCTAGTTACTTTCATATGTGTACACAATCATTCCTCAAAAGAAGCGGCAGAAAGGTTTTTTATTGCTATTATTTGTATAAAAGATTATATTCTATCCACTTAATATGGCAATTTGTTTCCGAAGGAACATCTAGTGGGAGGAAAATAGAAAATAAACCAAATAAGTAAGTAAATAAATAAATAAATAAGTGTGTGTGTGTGTGTGTGTGTGTGTGTGTGTGTGTGTGTGTGTTTTGGAGGAAAAAATATACATTTTTTTTTGCCTTGAATGCTAGGCAGAAATATTCAATTTTATAGAACACAAGAAGGGAGCCAGAGAATCACAAGAAATCCTGTAAAGAAACAGTGCCTGTAAAAAAAATTACTCTTGGAACAGTGAGCAGTGTATATAGGAGAGGAGAGAAAACAGTGATGAGCAATGAGGATAATTTAAATGAGGGCAGATGATAACGAGGCTTCCACAGCTCAAAGGCAATGGGAGTACTGAGGGCGGGATGAATCCAACAGATACTTCAAAGAAAAATCTGAGATTTGGTGACTAAATAGAGACAGGAAATAAAGAGGAGGAGAAGCAAAAGAGGTTTTTGGTGCTTAACACCTAGGGACCAAGAGAACGGCAGCATCAATGTCATTTATGAAGACATTTTTAACAACAGAATAATCAAAGAATTGCTCATTTCTACTGAAACCACCACCACAAGAATCCTGAGTTTGTGCCAGATGGTCAGAGTTCAGAACTTTCCCCAATCCTTGCAGTGTTTCTGAGCATTTCTGCAATATTTATGTACATGCTTAGAAAATGCTCACCAGTTTGCCACCAATGGTCTAAGACGGGTACTCTGAAGACCTTTTTGGACCATTCCAGGGTCTCCACATCACATCGTTCTCCAGCCACAAATAATGTTTTAAACCTATATACAAGAGGAAGAATGAGTTCAAATTATTCCTTGAAAGTAAATTTAAATAATTTCATCTATTTCCTTTTAAATATTGTAGAATCTAACCACATTAATTCTCTCAGCAGAAAGAAGCCATATTACCAGTATATCATACTGCAGAATGGTGAGAAGCATGATTTGTTTTGACCCAAATGTAACTAAACACACATCATTGCATTGAAGTGAGGTGTTTCAAAAGTAGAACCCACAGCTACACCTCAGTTCTGAAAAGAGCAATCGAGTTGAATTTTATATCTGTTATATGCAGCAAATGATCAAAGGTGACAAACCTTTTCCTGTTTGACATTATCTCTGCTAATTTTAGCTGTAACTTTAATTGCTATGTTCTGCTTAGTTCTATACACACACAAAAAATACACTCTCAAGTATTAGCTGAGACAACAAATATGCTCATAAATATGATGTGCTTTTTGCTTCTCACAAGTTCCTTTGCTAAAGATTACTCTGAGCTGATGCACATATCCCCCAGTCCAAGGGCATACTTAGGACAAATAGGCAATTAAAGAGTAAATGCCATTATGGCCTTCAAGGTTTAAAAGGCCCTTATCGAAAGGAGTACAAGGTTATTGAAGATGAAGAATCTTTGGCTGGAAACACCATGCCACAGAATAAAAACGATGAAATAGGAAAATAGAATTGGTTAGACACAATTAGTGGTTCATTGAGAGAATGACTGTTGGTTTTTTTTTTTCCATTCTCAATGCCCATGACCAGTCTTGAAAGGGAAATGTGTGTATGAAGAGTTAATTAATTATCATCAAAGTAAAAGAACAAATGAAAACCTGCCTACCCACCCTGAACAATGTAATACAGTCACACAAGATTTATTACCATTCCCTTCATTTATATCATCTCATGAAGATTCATGGAGACTGAAATATTCCCGCCTTTATTTTCTAACAACATGTATGTCCTGTCTCTGCTATACACATGGAACTCATTCCCTGTTTATTTGTTTCTTGTATATTTTCCTCAGTGGACTCTCAGTTCCTTAGAAGCATTCAACTTGATACCTCAATACCAGTCAAAACAACTGGGAATTTTTGGTACTGAAACCTTTTTAGAAGCTTAGAAAGATGAAGTACTGAAGTGTGGAGTTGGCAAAATTTATGTCAGCTTGACTCGGTCTTATTGACTAAAAGAGGAGACATGTTGTTTTCATAAACTGAACTAGTCATCTAAAAGGCTAGACCAAGACAGCATAGGTTGGGTATAGTACCAAAAAGGGGTGGCCATTCCTTTGTGGAATCTAATGAACAAAGTACACTAACAAACAGACTGACGGCTATCAGAGGGGTGGGGGATTGGGAGGCTGGGTGAAAAAGGTGAAGGGTTTAAGCCAAAAAAAATTTAAAAAACACAAAACCTCACAGACACAGGCAATAGTATGGTGATTGCCAGAGGAAAAGGAGTGTGGGAGGGAGGCAGAAGAGGGTACAAGGGGAATAAATGGTGATAGAAGGAGACTTCACCTGGGATGGTGAACACACAAGAAGGCAATATACAGGTGATGCAGTATAAAATTGTACAAATGAAACCCATATAATTTTATTAACCAATGTCACCTCCAAAAAATTTAATAAAAAAGTAAAAAGAAAAAAAAGAAAAGAAGGAATGGCAAATCAAAGCTAAAAGGGATGTCTGGGGAAGCTAGGCAAGGCAAGAGAGTTTGAGAAGCAAGGTAGGAATAACCAGGAGAGAGAAAATTACCAGGAAAAATAGTGGGGTAAAAGGCTAGGAGAAATAAAAAAGACATAATAGTGGAGTCAAAGAAGACATTTTAAGAAGCCAGGGAAAGCAAAGGCACTGTAGAATTAGAAAAAAAGAGGATATAGTTGCGAGAGGTCAATTTCAAACTTTGAAATCTTTAAAATGTGTCTGTTCTGAGGGATGATTAGTGTTTATGGCAGTAGAAAGCATTTAGCATTGAAAGACACTGGGAAAAAATGAGCGTATTGATAGAAGAATTCATCATGAAGATACTAAAAATCACTCAAGGATGGTAGCAGTCAAGAGGAGAGAGGAAGTTCATGATTTGATGGCTCAGGTTGCAGAAGAGAGCTCTGACGAAGCAAGAAGGTGTTAACATAGAGGCACGAATCTTAATAGAAAATTAGTAATTAAACAGAATGATCAAACTCTCATAGAATCAACTGTAATATCCTCCTTGATTTTTATAAATAATCATGACCCCTAAAGTACAGTCTGGTCTCAGAAGTGGAAAAAAAAATGAGTTTAATAATTCTATGGAAAAATCTGGTGGCAAACAAGCTGTTGAAAATATGTTAATTAAGTTTTAAGTATAAATGAATCACTGATAAATGGTGTCTACACTTGAAAATCACTTGTGATAATTTTCATCTATAGATGAGGCTATTTATTCATAAGGATGTCAAAGGAGACTGTAGTAAATTTGTATAAAATACTCAATGTAATGTTACTGCTCAATACATTTTCTGAGAGAAAAAGGATCACCATCTGCTAATAGAAAGACTTTCAGGGAATAAAATTATCTTATTGCAACATCTTTTTTTGAATGATGTAATTGAATCAATAAAAATTACCTAAATCAATATTGTCCACTTGGAATACAATGTGAGCTACAAATGCAAGAAATACATGTAGTTTAAAATTTTCTAGTAGCTACATTCAGAAAAGTAAAAAGTTAAATTAATTTTTTAAAATACATTTTATTAAATGAAATAAATAAAAACATTATTCCAACATGTAATGAACATAAAAAATTACTAGTGACATATTAAAGTCTTTTTCCATACCTAGTCTCAATCTGGACATTTTTTTGGGGTGCTCAGTAGCCACGGTGGCTGGAGGCTCCCAAAAGGACACTAGCCAGGATGATAAAAAATTTTAATTTAATACTGTACACACAATTCTTCCTCAAACCATTATGTCAATAAGGTTTTTTGACTCGGATCTGTGTGCATGTACATGTATGGATTTGCAAGTGCCAACAATGTAACAAAGGTGACCTATGACTTAATGTTTCTATAAGAAGACTATCATCACAACAGCTTTGCAAAATTGTGGACTGGGCTTGGTTTGGTTTAATGATTTGACGTAGTTACAGGACTTCATATAATGGTGCAAGGCACTGTCAAAAATAATGTTTGAAGAGCTGCCTAGTGGCATGTTTTCCAGCTACATATCCAAAATTATCTAGGAGCCATCCTTAAATAAAGTTAGTCACAAAGATAAAATTGAAATGTCCTGGTAAAGACAGAGAGGTATCATTTCAAATTTCAGATAAAAAATAATCCAATAGTAGTCTTTGTTAAGAAACCATTTGAGTAAAGTAGATCAAACATTTTGGTGAGCACACAAGATTGATAGGGCAATATTTAAATCGTTGAGAAAAAGGAAGATAGACAGATAAAAAAGAAGAGAATGGAAGACCAAAAGGGGGTATTAATAAGAGGCAGAGACTAGGAAAACTGTCAGATAATTACTACATATATATTTGCAATGTGAGATAAAATTGAGATAATCAGATGTGTATTCCATGTACAACTGACATGAAATTAAAATTTGGATTATCAGTTAGGACCTGATCTGACAGAACTATTTTAGCAGAGTGAAACATTAATATATTAGGTCATTAAAATAGGTGAAACAGAGATTAGTGTAAAGTTTTAAAAGTTTAAAATGAGGTTGCCACATCCATAATTTTAGATGCCATGAGAAAAGACAAAGTTAAAAATATAAATACCATATTGTTAATAATGGTATGACTGAAACATATGAACATATTTCAACTATATCTTATTCAAACAGGTTCCTTGATATTTTAGAAAGCTTCTGTGATTATGAGTATTATGCACTTATAGGGTAAGTGAGAACCAATGAGAAGCTAATTACAGCCAATTAAGGATTTCCAACAGGAGAGTAAGGGAGGGAGATTTTTCTTTCGGAAGATGCCAGGGGCAATAGCAAGGAGGGTGGAAACTCAGGGCAGGAGCCCCAGGGCCCGGCCCTGGGAGGCTGTTGCCCTCACTGGACAAGCAGTGAGAACCCAACGCCAGGCCAGCATGGGAAAAGAGGCAGAAATAGAGACAGGGAATTGGTCAAGGGGTCTGAGTAATTATTACTACAAGACAATTCTCATTGCCTTGGAAATCCTTTTAGAGACCTTTGTATGTCATTGGACTAAGAAAACCAACGCATAAATAAACAAAAAACCCATACTCTCAAATACTAAATAAAAGTAAATAAAATCCTAGATAAATCCTAAATAAATTCCTAAATGAAAGTAAAACATAAGAAAACATGATTAGGAGGAAAATACGTGTATCCATGACAAATTGTAAAATCAGAGACAACAAAAATGTTTGTGGTTCCATTGTTTTTGTGCTGCTTCAAATTGAACCAAACACAGTTTTGAGGACTGACAACAAAAACATGTTTTATGATTTAAATTAAGTTAAAAATATCATATTGTTGTAAGTCATAGACAATTTGAAGAACAAAAAGAATACATCTACATATGTCCATTTTAGGATTTTTATTGTATTTTTGCTATTTATGAGTGCAGGAGGTTTCGAGCATAGTTTTCCTTAATCAAAAAAGGGAGCTAGTCTGTACTTGATTGAAAATTTAATAAAAGAAAAGAAAATCATTTTCTAGAGTATATTTTATATTTTCTACTTCCTTTTTCATGAATAACACATGTATAACAGAATTTAGTCTCAAATTTTTAAGAGCAGAATTTAATTTTTAATAGTTGGCTGTTTGAAAAAAGTAAAGAATATTATGTATCTAGATCACTTGTGTTTAAGTGTATAAAATGATAGTTCTGGCTGATGCCAACAGTAGAGGCAAAGAACAATAAAAAGGAAGATATTTATAGATATGAGGCCACATTTCCATCATTTGTCAAACCACAGATTACTTCAAAACCTCTAGATGGTCCAGTTGGTTGTATGTTTAGCTTATATATAAAATTAAAGATCTAGAACTTCAAAATTATTTATTAATAAAAATGATGCAAAATATTGTCAACTGAAAAATGTTAGCACACAATAAAAAATAATTTTTAGCTAATAAAGAAATAACTAATACCTTGCTATTATCAGCATTTTTACAAGTATTTTTATTATAACTTTTCATTTAATTAATTTTTTGGCATATTTCCCAGCCAAGTAAATTACAATGAACTAATTAATTGATTACAATAATAAACCATGCATTAGGATTGAATTCTTATCTGATGGCAAAGTTTAGCATTATATATCTTAAAACTTAGAATTTAATATTATGGTTGTCCATTATAGTTGTATTTTTCCTTTGATTTTAATTACATTAATAATATTACGATAGCAATCTTCAAACTGGCACTAAAACAAAATAGAAATGTTGATATTCCATAAAAAATGTTAAAAGTGACAGCTGAGTTTTTGCAAGGTAGAAATCCCTTCCATTTCCATTAAAATCAAGACGAGAAAAAATTAGAAAGTCATTGGTGATTTTTTAAAATGTCAAAGTAGTATACATGATTCCTTTCCCTAAATATACTACAACTATAATTATATTTTTGTATTAAAATCCCTGAAACTGCTCCAAAGTCACCATTTTATCAATAACAAACTCCAAATTATAAAATATTAATGAACATAAACATGTTGTAAACAAAGATAAGATTTAGGAATAAGATATGACTAATGAAATAATTTTAAATCGTTTAATAAATATTTAACCAAACATTATTTAACTCCTAATTTCTCATAGTAAACAAAATCATGCTATGTGATTTGATATATTTATAACCAAATGATTACTGAAATAAAAAGTCTTAGTATAAATCTATAATTAAAAGATAAATTATAAAATAAAGATAAATTCATGCCTAAAGTAATGAGTTGTCTTATTTTTAAAAACAACACTTAGTGGTTTGCAAACAAGAACAGAAATATGTTTCAACAGTTTAATTTATAATAGCCTTGCCATTACTTTAATAATGGTATAAAGAGATAAATACCCATATTGAAAAATTTAAAAAGTATATATTTTTTTACAGTATGATCAAAAATATATTTTTGTTTAGTAATACTTTTTATAGATTTTATTTATTTTTAGAGAGGGGAAGGGAAGGAGAAAGAGAGGGAGAGAAACATCAGTGTGTGGTCGCCTCTCACACGCCCCCTACTGGGGACCCCGCCAGCAACCCAGGCATGTGCCCTGACTGGGAATCAAATCAGTGACCTTGTGGTTCTCAGGCCAGTGCTCAATCCCCTGAGCCACACCAACCGGGGTTAATAATATTTTAATGTAAGTTAAAATTAGACATTTTTCATAGTAATTTGACACTTTCTGTAAAGGTTAAATTTGCCCATAGTAATCGCATATGTCCTATATCTGCACTATACATTATAGTAGGTACTAGATTTAAAAATTAAAATTGGAAAAAATTAAAAGTATCAGTTTCTTAGTAGTATTAATCCTTAGTCAAGAGTTCAGTAGTGACATATGGCTAGTACCTACCATATTATAGGAGCCCAGTTTTATTGGACAGTGTTACCCTAGATTATTATAAATGAATTAAATATCTGGAAGATATTCTGATGATGATAAAACACAGGAAAATGAATCTACTTCCAAATTTATAATACTAAAAAGATAAACAAAAAGATAACATACAGTATTCAGAGTAGGGAAAAATGGGGTGGGAGGACATTAATGAAAATGAGACCTATACACCTTTCCCTAATTTTATATAAAACTGAGTACAGTTCAAGACTACAATAGGGTTCAAAGTAAGCAAAAGGAAAACAAAATAGTGATAGTATTACCAAATTAATTTTAGTTCAAAATGGATGGGAAGCTGTACAGAAATGGATAAAGAGCTAAAGATAAATCCTAGTGAAGAATTTTCAGGTAATAAAGTAGGGACTAAAATGAATATTTTATTCAAGGTCCATAAACTACCAAACGAGTGAAAATTGCTTTTTACTTGTGCCAACAGAAGTTAAATAAAAACAGACCGTTTCAGTGATGCCTCATCAACTTCTCATTCACATGACAGAACATCATCATTTTTTGCCATAAATGTCCCTGCGGTTATCTTCATCTTTCCTTCATTCTATTTTCTCTTACTGCTCCCCACTGGAAAACTCAAATTACCTTTTGAAAAAAACTGTCCACTCTTTTGTTACTATTATTTAGCACATAAATTTTGGCTTTTGTTTAAACACAATATGTCATTATGATTATTATACCAACTATATAAATTCAACAAGATATTTTATCAGTTTGCTCAGCTGCTCGGTTTTTTATATCCCACACCATTCCCCCATGTGTATTTTTCATTGTATAGAAGTCTTTGGAGTTTAAATTCTTGTAGCTTTTTTCATATAAACATTTGTCTGTTTTGTCCTCAGTCTTTAATAAAAACTTTTTTTGGTTTGACAATTCTCTCTCAGCAGTTTGAAGATCTTTCACAATGGCCATCTGAAATCTATTGGCATTAGCTTGATTTTCCTCTCTGGTGCTCTGTTGATTTTCTCTGGTAGTTTATAGATTTTATCATAGGCTCAACGTCTGTGTTACAATTTCCAAATGACATGTCCAATGAGAATTTACTTATATTTAACCGCTTCGTACTCGCATGGCACTTCCGTCTGTGATCCATCTGACTACAACCAGCCTTACCACTTTGGAAATCTATTTTACTTGCAGTGCACATAATGTTTTTAAGCTCACCTCTGACACTCTGCTTTTTCTCTTTTGTATTAGCTTTCATTGCTATGTAATTGGAAAAAGAGAGGCTGCATCAAGTATGAGGTACTATGATATCTTGCACGGAAATCCCAGAACTGACTATTTCCTAACTTGATTAAGGTTGAACTAGAAAATCATGGGAAAATAAACCACTCTGATGTGATGTAAAAAGCAGTGAATTAGATAGAAAGCACAAGAGAGTCATAATAGCTAAGACTTAGTTTATGTTAAGAACTATTTCAAGTGCTTTGCATGAATTAGGCACCTTTTATTTTCATTATATTCTTGTACTATTTCTAGCTTTATAGTCCACAAAGTAAAAGGAGGAGGAGGAGGAGGAAGAGGGGGAGGAGAGGAAAGGGGGAGGATAAAAGGAACAGAGAGGCAAAATAAGCGACCTTAGCTTTCCTGCCACACAACTTCATGCCCTGCAACCAGAATGCATTTGTCAGAAAATATATGCTGTGTAACAAACTACAATCACTCCTTCTCCAAAAGAACTGTAACTGTCCTAAGACATGAAGACTATACACAGCCTCAAATGTATTTACCAAAATCTATGTCTCTATCCTTTTGACTAAAATGAACTATTGAAATGCCAGAAATGAAGGAACAAATAGAGGGTGAATAGAAACATAATATATGATTCACTTTATGAACACCTTTTATTTTAATAAGAAAGTATTTTTTTGGATTATAGGTAAATTTGGATATAAATAAATCTAGATCTATTTTTTTTAATAAAATAAAAAATAGAGGGGGAATAACCCAAATAAAACCACTGACCCTGCCCCAGCTGAAAGCTTCTTGCTTACATCTGCAATTGGTGTGTGATATCTACTTTTAACTCCTTTAGGCCATAGCAACATAAAAGTATAACATCTGGCTTCTAATTTAAAAAAATTCAAACCAACTTAATTCAAGCACACTTTCTGACTTGAGAAAACTATAAAAGTTCTTCACTTAGTTTATGATAACAGTGACTTATTTCAAAGAGGTTCAGTAAGAACTGATGCTGGAAAATGCCTTGAAGATACAAATTGCTATAATTATCTTTGAATATACATATCATTAAACTAAAATGATGTCTATAAGCCAGCACAAAAATCTCTAAAATACTCAGAGCATATTACCATAAAACAAGAATAAATACATAAATAATTTCCTTCACTCTTTTAACAAATGTAATTTGGACTATAAAACTCATGGCTTATCTGTATATGTGAAATCAAATAATATTTTTCCTCTTTGTAAACCATTCTTCATTTTCAAAAAACAGTTACATATGTATAAATATGTAAAATGCACATATCTATGCATTTTAATTCATAGTTAGCATTTCAGTTTAAGAAAAATATAAGCAGGGTAGTTTACAAAAGAGGAATATTTGGGTAATATTTGAACTAAAACAAGCATGATACAGTATTGGAAAATATCCACAATATAGATAATATTCCAAGTGTTTCAAAGATATGGTTACAATAATCATTCTTAACAACATTCAGAATCTTTTGGCTCTTTCCAAAAGAGATATTGCAATGCTGGAAAAAAAAATACAACACTCAGTTATTCACTCTGATTGCAGTTTTTAATATAATTTGCCATGCGCATCAGTTCACCTTGTCAGTGAGTACTGCTTCCCCAAGGCCGCCCCAGGGTCCTGCTGACGGATGGCTCTAATTGCAGTCGGCGCTGTAAACAAGGCAGCCACTCCATGCTCCGCCAGCACACGGAAATAAGCACCAGCATCTGGTGTTCCCACAGGCTTCCCCTGCAATGAGAATCATTTAAAATGTCACTGGGTAAAATGGCTCATATTTCATTGATGGTTCAATACTTATACATTTAACACTGAAACATTAATAAAGTGGGATTCTCAACAAATCTTAGTTTTAAAATACTCCATGTTCTATCATAAGTAAAACAAGCCAAATGCTCAGGCATCAGAGAGGCTGTGTGTCCCATTACAGCATCCTAAAAGCTTTTCAAATTGCAATTTTTCCTTTCCCAAATTTTGAAAGATAAAAACGGAAAATATACATCTCATTCAAATTAATTGTACCCAACAGTCTTCTATTTTACAATACATTAAATATATGATTTTGTGTGGTGGGCTAAATGAAAATCACACTTGCTACTAATTTCTGACTTTAATCTTTTTTATGATTACTATTAAAAGTGCCAATAATAAATGAAAATATTTGAGAAGAGAGAAAAAATCTAGAACCACAGTGATTTCGGAGCAATGACTTTTTCAATTAAATGTCTCACTTCACAGAAAGCAACTTCCATGAATTAAAAAAAAAAAAAATCCAATAGGATATACCAAAAAGCATGTATTCCACAGCTTCAAAATGGCATTATACATGTCCAATGGAAAAATAAGCATAAACATCTAACAATTTTGACAGACTAGGCAATACAAAAGGACATTCTGATTGATGTTTCTGCAAAGTGAAAAAAGGGCATGGCATTTAAATAAATCAGTAATTTTGCAAAAGTTTGAAATGACCCACAAAAATATACCTTGGCTCAGCCATACACTCTCACTCTTCAGTCCACTCTCATATCCGCTACTCCTTCCTGTACTTTAAAGCGGGGTTCCTGGAATGGTACTATCTGCTATAGAGGTACCATTTCCTAGATTTCCCCAACCACATCTCCCATCTGGGCACCCCATGGATCTCACATTCTGGAAAACACACCTGGGAAACACTGAACTAAGGTAAGAAGAGGAAAGAATTTGCTAGCAGTAAATATAGCTCCCACAGAGAATAATAAATGAATGGATAATAATATGAGGCAGGCCATAATTGTCCAAAACTTTAGATTCATTATCCACTTCTAATTGGATTTTTTTGACACGGCACAATTTCAATTTTACTTCTATTTTTTCACGGTTGCTGTTCATATTCATTACTGTATATTTACTTAAAAACAAACAAAAAAACAAAAAAACCTTGTTAGGGCTTCTGTTCTCTTGCTTTTTCTCTTGCTCTTTTAATACCAAAGAAAGTATCTGTTGCAACTAGAATTTCATATTTTATTATCCCAACTATCTCAAACACTTGATTACAATTTATTTCATTACCACCTCATACAGATCAACACATTGACATAGTATACAATCTGGTAACTCACATACAAAATTTGACTAACAAATTTTGAAGCCCTAAGCATATCAGTCTAAAAATGACTCAGCAACTTTATTCTTTCTTACTAAACAAGGTAAACATTTGACTTCTATTTCTTTGATCTGTTTTATGCTCTGATCAGTCCCTTGTGTACTAGATTGTGACTTTGGGAAACTTAATCTCAGGCACATAAAAATGATTTGTCAACTGACCTTATGCAATTGACTTGCCATTTTCTTGCCTCCTAATTAAGAATAAATCACTTTTCCAATATTTCCTCGATAAACTGAAAGCACTGAGATTATATTTTAAAGTAGTCTGACCTCCCATAAAGAAACAGGCTTTATAGCCAATTGGAGTTGAATTCCAGCACAGTGCCAGTGTCATGGAACAATGATAATTCACTCACTAAGCAATGATATGAGCAGCATAATATAAATGCTATCCCATATGACTACCTACATAGAGGGCACAATTTGATATATTTTACAGTGCCTTCAATGAATGATGTCTAATGATAATAATAATGATAATTTAAGTATTAGAGATATTACTTAAAAACCTTACCATACTTTCTATAAATAATATAAAGTTATAATCTTTGTTGCACTTCTAACACTGCACTAAATAAATTTTCATTAATATTATATTTATTGAGCATAAAAACCTGATAACATACTATTACTATAAGACACTGAAGAATGTGATACATAAAAGCTTACAATGTTCTTTGAAAGCTAGTTGACCTCAGGAAGGTCCAGTTGCTTTGTATTTTATTGTCCACTCCACAGATGATCATTCAAAGCTATGAATATGATGTATCTCTATTTTAGAATTACTTTACTAATTATATACTTTAGCATTTTATTTTCTTAAGGACTTCTATCTGATCTCAAATATTAATTAAAACATGTGATGATATATTAAAGAAATTATTGTTCCCCAAAACAGAGGCTGATTAACACAAAAGATAGGTTCTGAATGATGTCAACACTTCAGATAATACTATGCAGCACAGAGCAAAACCTTTCATCAGAAACCATCATTCCCATGAAAACAAGTCATAATAAATTAGGTGGTACTAATATATTTTTCATTTAATCAACATTTATTGAGCATCTACTATGGGCTAGTGCCACTATTCTGAATAATTCTGTGAACAAGTCAGGTAAGGTTCTGCTCTTATGAATCTTACATTCTAGTAATTATGGGGTTTGAGTGATATAATATTATTAAAAATTACATAGCAGATGTTGCAAGCTATTTGTGTCTAAACATAGGACCCATATGTTTTCAACAACTATCACCACAAGTAGCTTTAGAAAACTGAAGCAAAGCCTATAACCCTCTTTCATTATGAACTCTAAATTAAAGTGACTCAGTGACTTAATGGTTTTTTTAATATTCTTCTCTCCTGCTCTACTGTGCATACACAGGATTCTGTACACACAGAGACATACTGTGCATGCATAGACAATACCATCCCGTGCCGATGTGTTTTTTAAAGTAATCAGTAACACACTAATTACCATGTTGAGCTGCCTGGAAAAAAAATGACTCTAATTTCAGAACTTGTATATTCAGTAAGAAGCAGGAGCCGAAATTCTATTTTATGTTAAAATGAGAAAATTCTAAGATTGTAGGGATTTTTAATAAACGACATATACACCAAAAGCAGTCATGCATGTACAAGGTAAAGATAACTTAAAAACTCTTCAAACTCAAGTTCATGTCCTTACCATTTGCTTTTATTTCCTTCCCCTTAACTAAAGTCTACCTTGTTGGTTGCTGCCCAGAAAGCAAAGGCAGAAAGCAGTCCCTACAATGGCAAAGCAGAGATTATAAACTTTCAGCTATTATAAATCATGGATTTTTAACATCAGAGATTTATAAAATATCAATTTCCAATATTTATAATGTGGTTAGTGATATTACAAAGCACAGAAAACAAGACAGTAACCAAATACCTTAAAATTAACTTGCACTTATAATTTTCTTCCACTTACAATTCAATGTGTTAATATTAATGGACTACAGATGATAAATCCTGAGCTGAAAAACCAGGTAATTTGTGACTTCTCACATAATTCCCAGTGAGGTTGTTTTCAACACAGGAAAAAAGTATAATACAGCAACTCAGCAGAATTCAGCAAAACAAAGATCTAAAACACTAGAGCTAAACCTTTGAGCAAAAAATCATTTGCTTTACTGTTAAATCTGTGATTTCAGTTTACCTAAGGCTTGAAGTCAAGGCTACTTGTGGTTTCTCAAATTTTGGCATAAAAACTTTCGCGTGAACTGCAGTTTTTGCCTCTTTTTGTGACAGGATTAAAAACACAATTTGTTTTGTTGTGTTGTGTTGTTTTTTGAACACGTCTGAGAATGTGACCAAAGGCATGTTTCTACTCAGTTCTAAGGTACAGACAACAGCAACCCTTACGGACTAGTCCTAAATTTCATTTCAGCAGACAGGTGCTGCAGGGCCAGCTTGTTTATTTTGGAAGAATGATGAAATTGTCAGTGGCATTTGTTGAAATCCTACAACATGACTCATGCCTTTATCAATGGCTGGGTATACAGCATCTAATCTTGAGGATATTTATTTAGTGAAAAAAGCAAAATGCAAATAGTGTGCATAACAGTTGTACACTGCCATTTGTATAAAAAAAGGAGAGAAGACACTGTTTATACATGAATTAACTATGTACACATAAACTGACTTCTTCCCATTGAGTGAAATTAAACAGCTAGGAACAGGAAAGTGAGATTTGCACTATTTACTTATTTGTGAGTTTTGAAATATGAACCAAATATGTATACAGCCTCTTTCAAAAATGGGCTTTTTCTTTGCTAAAGTTCCTCTCTCAATAATTCACATTAACTTGCCCCAATTTTGAAAACATTACTGCTGGTTTAAAGCTAGAAAGGATAATTGCCCTGTCTTAGGATTCCCAGACCTAGACTTTGTGTTACTAAAGCAGGCTCCCTTTTAAGGAGTAAGAACTTATAAATACAGTATGATGACTAAGAATTTCTATCAGACTGGCTTCCTTCATTATTTGCTAGAAATTCCCCATCATTCCATTGGCCTCACCTGTGCAGATATGGTGCAGATCTTCCCTTCCTTCATCTTATCCATACCACCACCTAATCCAGATGGTCAACCTCGAACGTACATTAGAACTTCTTAGGATGCTTTTGAAAGGTATCAATGCCTAGTCCCCACTCCCAGAGATTCTACTCTAATTGGCTTTGAGTTGGGGCTGGGCACTGTTATGGTTTATGTGTGTCCTAAATGACTCTGATCTGCAGCCAGAATGGAGGACAGATGTGTCCTTAGACCCTAGACACTAGCTGACGATACATTATTTCCCAATATCTACCTGTCTCGTTGTCCTAGTGGCTGAGCCTAGAATCTAACACTAGCTTTTGCTGGTTTACTCTATCTGTTATAAATAAATGAGCCAATCTAAATATTGATAAAAATATACTGATTATTGCAGTTTTATTATGGGGGGGGCATATACTAAGAAAATAATTTGGGAGAAGTACGTCATTGTTTCATATCCTTTATGCCTTGATTTATAAGCCAGATTCAAGACTGGACATACAATACATACCATGAATCGTAGGATCT